AACTATAAAAAAAGTTGATAGCCCAACGACGAATAGAACCTGGGTCCAGAATCTCCTTTTCTCTTAGGATCGAACCAGCGACCTTCGGATTTGAGGTGAGCTCTATTCCCAGAACCCACCATCTAGACAGATGTCTACATACACCACACCCCACAGCCCCCACCCATCACTCACTGCTAATGTCTCCTAGATTGGAAGATTACTCTGGACATGAACTAGTAAACGGTCAATTGACTGTTCTTTATGATTGGACCCCTCTTCACGTCCATAGCCTAGTTTAAATTACTAGTTAACTTAGAGTTGTACTTAATTTAAATTTGTCAAACAATTAATAATTAATAATTTATAGTTATACAGTAGCGATAAAAAAACTTTCCAAAGATGAAAAATATTACCTTTTTCTTCGCTGAGGTGAACGATTGTGGGGGCGTGCTTATAGTTAAAATACCTACTTTGTATGGTCGCTATTTCAATAAAAAGTATAAAAGTAAAAGTATAGTTGTGTGGCTGAATATGGATTGTGCATCTATACCTATGCCTTTAATTTTTTAACCTATGCTGTCAAGCTGAAGTGACATGCCCAATTCAACGTGTGTAGTGGGCTTTAAAGTAAACTAAGTGTTGCAATTGCTTACATTTCTGTGATGTAAAAAACTCAATAACTTCAACTATCGCCCTATTTGACCAATCTCCACAATAAATGCAATATGTACGAACCCCTGAAAATAATAAATTTCCTTAGTCGTTAAAGAAGTGACTGAAGAAAGTAATTGCCTTAGGGTGTGTCTTGTTGGCGATGAAATTAGTCTTGTTATTCATAAGTGATGGGAAAGGACGACAATGTCACTTAAACTCATCAGTTAAGTTGACATGTTTGTTTTATCCATCAGACTAATGTTGTATGATCTGTTAACCAACGACGCAGTTACTGCAAGTTAAACTTAATCCCGAGAAAAATAGCCAATCAAGCTAATTGAAATTGCAATGGGAGGAAGGTTTCGTGGTATTATTTTCAAGTTTTTACATGTTATAGCCTTGATATCATGTCATTTGTAAGATTGCCTCTGTTTCCCTTTATAACAATTCAATATTACTTATTTCATTATTGCGTTAATACATTTACGAGTTAAATATTACAGAACTAACGGAAACTCACGCAAATCGAGGGTTCTAACACTTTTCAAAGATTTCCTACATTGCAAAAGGTTGTCAAAGAGATTACCAGAGAATATTGAGATCACAACGGTTGCTATGGTAACCCTCCTCCCTCCCCTCGCCACACATAACGACCGAGTAGGCCCTGCCGTTGTACTACTAGTATAGTAGTAGACAGGTCGTTATCGTTTACTGTTATCATCAATGTTATCATTGTTATCAGTTTAGAGCTGGGAGTCACAAACGAGTAAATATTGTGCACTGGTGACCTCATGCGGAGGCGTTGACTTCAGTCACAGTAGCCTACCGTTACATTTCCATCTACAGTGTATAGAGATTACAGTAGTTGTGTAGCTTGATTTGGAATGAATAGTTACATGGTTAAATTTTAGCCACCGAAAGAGTGTGCGGATAAAAAATAAAAGTTTTTACTTACCTATTCACCAAATAATGAGAAAAACAAAAAGGGAAACTTAATTGTTGTAAGGTGTAGCGTCTAGACTACTATGGTATGAAATAGAATGACAAGTAATTGAGAAACTGAACGATAGTGTCACATTTAAAGGGATGGCCATTCAATAATGATTTAATTGAGCAAATATGTTTATATCTTGACACTATGGATGGTATGTCTACTTCTGTAAAAGTCAGTTGTTCGATCGACGAATTCATTCGAGCAGAGAATGGAGAAATGTGCCCTAGTCCGTTGTAACACAAATTAATCATTCTAAGCTACAGTTTGTAAGAATTCGGTTGAGTAACAAAATTATTAGGTTACCAATTCATAATGATTTGGTTGTCAGATTCCTATATGAACTTACAACAAAGGTTAGATCGAGTAAGTGTATTTGTTGACAAAATGTATACTTTTAACATGTTCAGTTATTGGTGTTTAGACCTGCACAAGCACTTCAATAAAATGGATCTCCAACACATGCGCTATGAAGTCACGTTCCTTGGAGTCAGTTTTTTAACACGTACACAGATTGCCAAACTGTAGTGGTACGTGCGACGTGATGTATCTATACTTGCATGTCGAGTTTGCAATTTTTTATTGTCGTCAATTATTTATGAAAATCAGTTAAATTTAGCACCTGCGTCGTGGTGCATTTTGTGTCGTAATGTAATAGGAACACGTTTAAACAGATGATATATTTTTCCTACAGTACCTGACAATGTAGTCTTCGATCTCGATGCACTGATTATAGCACGCTAAATTACTAATTGTTTTATTTACTTACTTTTGCTGAACTCATTTTACTTTTTCCGCACTCCAATATTCCAAGCAAACAACACAAAACTGCGTGCTTTTATTAGGCACGTAAAACGTGTAAGCTTGAAATAGTATATTACGTTACTAGTCCTGAAAATAAGTGTTTACCGGACGAGTGTGGTCGTTCCCGTGCGAGACGAAGTCGAGTACGGGATTACCATACGAGTCCGGTACACACATTTGGACGAGACGTACGATAGTTTACGCCATACTACTAAATCTGTACAAATCCTTATACAGTATAATTTCCACCAACTAAAGGACTAAAAATATTTGTAAAAATATAAGTTTTAAATGTTAAATGTACTTTAAAGTAAACATTAAAGTATTATATTGTCTGTGACGATATCGTCCCAAAAAAGCCTAGGAAAATACTATTTCAGATACTACCACTACGATCAGCTGGTGCAGCGTTTCCAATTTCGTCCAATACGTTTGGATTTAACCTAACCTAAAACCGTGTTGTATAGTGTTTGAAAGACTAATTATTCTTTATGGATATCTAGGCTATAGTAACTGTAAGAAAATATAATGTGTAACACGTCTGTGTATTGTTTATGGGAATCTCTCTTAAATCATTTTAATGGGTACTTAGAAATTTCCGCGACGAGTTGAGTTTGATATGTGTGTGAGTGTGTGTAACAATATTGTACGTAAATTCTAATCTGGGTGTCGTTTGTGTATGATGAGCCTGCTGAGATATGATTGTTGAGTTAACGAGTTAACACAATGAATTGTTGATTTGTCAGCAAGTGACCGTCTACTCTACTGGAAAATGCAAACTAAGCGCTAAAGAGGGAGAGCTAAAACAAATGTACGTCATAGCAGCATGATGTTATGAGACAAATATTTCGTCTATCACGTTTCTTGGTATCCTTTTGTAATCACTTATCTGTTTCCAGGAAATGTGTTCAACTAACATTTGAAAAGCAATGTATTTCGACGATACGATGGACAAGTTATATCTTTATTTATATTGGTCTAACAAAAAACAATCGTATAACAAAAACAATCTGAGTAAAAACACCTATAAATAATTTTCAATTTAGAGGACATCTAGTATATACATTTAGCCAGTTTTATTTTTAGTACCTCGGGACCAAGCCATGGCTCGGTGTAGTTTATTATACCAACTCAATTAAACTAAGTCACCGAGAGCATGCTGCTTGTATGCACCACCACCACCTTTTGATCATAGGTACTAGAGGGGACAGGCAACAAATTGTACACGAAATTCTGCCCTCACCAACTCTCATAAGCACAAAATACACGGTTAATTAACCATCCAGAGACACTAATTCTATGAATGATAAATACAATCTATATTTGTTGCACTTGTGAAATGTCTTGCGGGTTTGCTTCAGCGAGAGAATGAAATGTCAGTCCAAATTTAGCCGGGTCATGCACCGAGCAATCAAACTCTGTTGAATATTCAACACCAAGCTCACTGTGCGTCAACGAGCCTTCTACGTAGGCTATTCAACAGGCGAACTGAATAAAAGTGACTGACACCAATGCACCAATGTACATCCATTGATTGACAGGTCGGCTAACTTACATAGTGATAATCAGTTTGGAGTTTAGGACACGTCCGAAGGCAAATAATACAATGGAAGTGTACAAATAGTTGTAGTCTTTTCAAGAATTAAGTCACAGTTAAAATGTGTTATAATAATTAAACCTGATGATGCTACAAAGTCATCTACCATTCTACTAGGCCTGCAAGCGGATAAACTAAATAAACAAAGTGTGTCAACTACAAAGGTTAGAAGACACCAGATTGTTGTGCAAACAGCTTTTCTCGATAAAACATCAAACGAAGATGTAATAAAACCCCAAAAAATGAGAAGTACCCAGTAGGCCCTCAATTTGGAAAATCATTTTAAAGCAAAATTAAGCTCCCCAATAAACTTTTGACATATTTACAGATGCGATTCAAAGGGGAGGGGTGATATAGACTTTCATTAGGACAGCTTTCTGTACTATAGGACAAGTTGTAGAGCATTTAAAACGTAAGCTACGAAAACACAAACTTTGCAACTTTGACTGTAAATGTTTGAAATGTAAAAGATTGGAAATCGTGTATGGACAGGTAGCCGTAAGGCTTTTGGTAACTAGTAATAAGATCACTGTGGCTATTCGGGCGGGCATTTGCGCCAAATGACCTGAGACAAGCTGTCGGATATTCCTGAATTGCGCCAACTATTGTCATTCCCAGGGAGCCACCCGATACGTTCCTTAACTAGCCCAGGTGGTAGCCCTCATTGACTCTATAATTTTGAGTGTGTTAGAATAAGCTGTTAGGATAAGAACTTCTGCCGGCAAACCACCCCTACCTGGCATGGACTTGGAGCAACTAAGGGGCATTTTTCGGACCCTTTTAGGGGTTAGCGCAATTAAGGAACTCTTTGCTGCAATTACAGTAATGCAGGACCGGCTGGTCTGAGTCTTTAGTCCGATTCAACAATGATTCAACGTGGTCAGGTTTCAAGCCAGTCAATACAAAACTATCTAAAACTACACACACATGCACATTTATGTAAGTGGTACAGGTTACGAACTCCTTACTCACCGTCTGACGGGTCGGCCTGTAGATGGTCTCCCGCGACAGGAGGTTCACGTCCTGGTCGGTGACACTGGAGGCGTTAGACACGTGCCTCGTCCTCTTGTCTGGGACCTGCAAAAGGGCGACACTCTGGGCAGCCAGCGAGGGCCGGAGAGGATGGTCCTCCTCTATGTATCCTACACCGTCGTCAGGACTGTCCTCGCGAGGCATTCTGGGTGTCTGTAGGACACTGTAAGTCGACAACTCGGCCACTGTGACTCTCAAAGGTGACCTTTCATAGTACCTGGGGACAGACGTGTAAGGTTATGTATATCAATCTCATACGGCTCAGGACTGTACATTAATACAACAACACGCAGTGTTCTGTGTATTCATGTCCTGTCTATGCCTGAGCATCCAGTGTCCTGTGTATGTTTGCAGGACCTTCGAATGACTATTAACATAGACAAATTTGTATATGCTAGTAACCAATTTTTTAAACCGAATTTTCAATAAATGGCTGTGAGCTGAGGACAGCTGAGGGTTACACACATTTTGATTTGTATTGCATATATTTTTGTCATTGTTTAAAAAGTTTTAACTATAGCTGTTCCTCTTAAATGATGGGTTGTTCTTGAACCATTCCTCCACGGGTTTTCTTGTTTTAGGTAAGGCTGCGTAAGCCGCCCTTCGCTTCTGCCCTTCCTTGAGAGCACGCTTCCATTTTTTTCGCTTGGGTGCAGGAGCGCTGGTGTGGTTAAGACACTAGAATAGTATTTCACACGTGTAAATTTGGACATGATGGCAATTGACTACGACAGTAAATTAATTCCTTGGCAGAAATAATACGTCCCACTTGCGTGTTCTACTTCGGCGTTGTAAACTATTTTCGCATATTTATAAACTATTAATAAACTAAACACGGTTCACACACAATATCCTCTAAATAAATCGTGTCGTTCATCTATCAGATAGTCAATATTCAAAGATACCATTAACATCCACAAACAAACATCAACCCTTCTTTTTAACAGTTTGTTGGTGGGTTTGTTTAATCTATTATTATTAGGTGACTAACAGCTGACTAGGGCCACGTGTCAATCATCTACCATTTTCATTGGCTACTGTCCAAGCCAATCAGAACATCAGTAAGCTATAACAATGTCAAATAACGTTCTAAACAACCACCCGCATTGGATCGTTATGTGCAATATATTGTAGCTAGTTTGTACTTATTGAGTACGGCTGGGGTTAAATTTATTGAACCTAATTATAGTGTGATGGCTTGATGTTATTATGTAGGAGTTCTTGGTGCAGCGTTTTCATAGAAGACATCTGGATTTCAATTAACAATTTACAGAGCCCTGGAATGGTAGTTAACGCAACGATAGCGTAAAGATAGTGTTAACGAGAGGAGTAAAAATTTTAGGTAGAGCCTTAGCGAGTGCCTTAAAAACTTCTACGAGGGAGATGTAGAAGTTTTTAGTAAACTCAACCACTAATTGGTCTAATTAGCTGATAAGTTTTTTTTTTGTAACATTTTATTTAATTTACAATCTGTTCAACAAAAAATAGAACAATAAGCAAATTTGATAAAATTTAAACACAGTAGTTAGTCTTTATCCAACAATAGAGCTAACACACAAACTTTGCATATTTTGTACAAAGTTTGAAGTCTAAAAACGACTACCTAAGTCCAAAACATGGCATCTTTAAGTTACAAAGTCGAAGCATTACAATTTTACTTCTCTCTCAATCCTTGAACCTCATTGGTCCGTTACCCGTGTTGTTATGAGTCATGCTGTTATGATAGTAAACAATGCTGTTATGTAAAACATTTCAATTCTACGGCTAGTTTGAAAAACGGCCGTAGGTAAAAACAAGAAAAACCCTACCAACAGCAAACCATACCTGTTTTAAGATAACCTTACAATAAAAACTGCTAATATGTAGTAAGGTTGCCTACCGAAATGTATTATGGTGTATACCCTAGAAATAAAATTACTTTAAATTAATCACAATAAATACACAACGAAAAATATCTGGGCTTTTAGAACATTTTACAGAGACGTTGAGAATTTCTAACCCCCATTTTGTCATGAAAAAGTGCTTTGGTCTATGTTGAAACGTTTATATTTGTTTGTATTGGCTACTTATGACGGTTAGTAATGATACTCATCTTACATAATAATAAATTTGCTAATTCGGTCATGAGAAATGTTATTGACAAAATGAGTAATACTAATGTTTGCAAGCGCCAAAATATCGAAGACTGCAGTGCCTATTATTTGGACAATGAACTGAAAGCCTTCAGACGCTGCCAATGTTGATTCTACGTCAATACCGATATAAAAAGGCGTGTTTGTATTGAATGTAGAATACAGATCTATTGGCTCAGATACAGATTTTACCAATGTATGTTCAAAACTAATTCCGAATCAAGACTGGTCTACCTCACAAAAACTGAAAAAATCTTTAATAGGTTTCGTAAATAATTTGGATAGCAATAGTTTAGTGAAAGTGTATTATTCAGTTTGGTATTTTTACTGGCAATAGCTTTACCTGCGATATTTATATTTGTGATGGTAACTGTCCAAACTGTAGGCCTTGGTACTAAATATAATACAGATTTGTTGTTAGAGCATCATTCATCATATCCAACCTCTTTGCTCATAGTATCCGATTTTTAATAATTGTTTTAAGGCTCAATTTTTAAATGGCCTTTTAAAACCATTGTTTTTATTTATAATTTGAATTTAAAAGTTGCGGAAATGTAATAAACCTGTATATATCATAACAATAATGTATAAACACAATTTAATGAAATAAAATGTCATATTTTAATTGATTTTACCTTGAATTAACAACTAATTAATTATTTTCTAAATACATTAAGAATATCTTCAACAGAAACATTTTTAATCACTAGAAATCTAAGGCAAACCGATCTTCAGAGTACTTTAGAATAAATTGTCTTAAGCTATAGAATAAAATAGTTATATCAAAGACAACGGAAACATTAAAGTATTATATTGTCTGTGGTTATATTCTATCAATAAAAGTCAACTGGATGTCTGTACACGTTTATGATCTCCAGGCAATTCTTGACTGGTGTAGGAATTTCAAGATACTTTAACAATTTTAGAATGAATTGAGGAAACTAATAAAATGTACACAGTTCATAGTATCATGTTAAGTTACAACGACTAACGACTTAACGCGTGCTAATAAAGGATCTATTCTCAAATCAGTAGACGTGTAGATCATGTAACTGAATTTGATATGATATTGGAATTAGAAAATAAAACACAAACGTAAATAGTTTTCTAGAGTACTTGGTAGAAATAATGCATAAATATTTTCTAATTAGCCTATTTACTTACAAAAGAACCAATATGATTGAACTGCTATCTGTCCAGAGAAGCGCAAGTCGCCACTGTTCACTTCACCGACAGACAAATAACTAAGGTCGACGAGTTAAAAATACGACAACTTTTGGACGGTCTTCGCACAGAGTGTAAACTCATACAGCTTCATGGGATGAGTCTCATTCACCCATTCAACGGTTAACTGTGAGTGGAAATGGGAAGATAATGTAGGAAAATGTGTTAAGGGTATTGTAAAAAGACAAGCGTTAATCGTGAAATTTGAATACAGTACTAGTTGAATTACCTGTACTTGGAAGTAAAAATAATTCATTTATACTACAAAAACATTTGACATGATTTCTATTATCGATGCCGTAATTATCAAAATCTGACCACATACATTGCATTCTAATCTAGCTTATTTGGGATCAACTGTGACTGTGAGAGGTAAAATGTATTTAAATTCCAAGTTAAGGGAGGGTAAAAATTGCAATTTTCGTGTTACTCCAATTGAAACCAATCATGAAAACAATTTTCATCAGCTTGACAAGGTAAATTTTTAAGCCCGGGGACAAAGCAATCCAACGGATATTTCGAATATCCGTGACCCATTCATAGTGACTTTAACAGAAATGAGATAAATACCTCCTCACGAGCATTTGATTCTGCCTATCCAGACTAAGACGTTAGTTTGAAAATATTTTCAACAGATCACTGTGTTTGTTATTGTGTAGAATATTCATTTATCGATTGTCGTTTTAGAATGTACAATGTTCTCCAATAATTCACCGGTATAACATTATAATAATTTGAAACGCTCGTCACTCTGACTCTATCGTAGATGATAGCAATAGAAAATACGATTAGGATTTGGTATCTTGGCTATATACCATAATTTGTTAGTCAATATGGTTTTGGTAAGGCTAAGTTTAGTTATCGATCCTTCTATTGTTCAATGATACAATTAATTGAGTCGGATCATAGACAAAAGAAATACCATGGTCTATTGTAATGGGCTATTGTCTGTGGTCGGATATCAAAATTTCGCCTATCATAATGAAATCTGTGTTTCACGAGTGTATTTTATATGTCCCATCATGCAATAGCAGTTCATTGTACAACTAAAATCTATCTCGTTTAGCCTATATATTCAAATACATTCAGGTCACAAAGAATTAATGATAGGTACAATTAATATACATTTCTTTAAGACTAGATGGTAAAAATGTTCTCTTGTACAGTGTAGTCGACATCTTAGCAAAACATTGCATGGAAAGCTAGTGAGTCTAAGTAGAGCCCCAATATGACTACGTTTTCAGTTCTTAAAAAATAAATCCGAGCACACAAAACTAAATAAATAAATAAATCTGGACGCCAAACTGAACAGGAGTTCCAAAATCCGTACAAGATCCGGACGTTAGTAACTCTAGTCTAGAGTCTATTCTTGTTCGACGAATATGAGAAGGATTGGTATAAATGAAGTGTAAGTTTCACGTATTTCTGATCACCTCAGCAATGACGAAACAAAGCAAGCAGTTATTTCCAGTGTTGCGTAAGATTCCACAGTTAAATTGTACCATGCACCCCACCGGCACCGGCAAGTGTTTACCCCTCACTACTGTGCACTACAGTAACATGAACCTTTATCTTTTAGCGATTTGTTAGGTTTTGTTCTCTATTTCTATTAAGGTGGCCCTATTGCATTAACCTTACCTAGCTCATCGTAAGCTCGACGAGGTAACGTTGTATTGCACAATCCAAAAAAATACCTTTTTATAGTCTTATATATAGGGATCCTTCCTATATCCTGAAGATTGTTTTCATGCTAGGGCTATGCACTAATTATATTAACCTACTTAGTGCTCATCTAAAAATCTGAAGGCAGCCAGTTCGATCCTGATTCCTGCCTGAGTAGTGGGAGTTTTTGATGGTTCAAAACTGTACACAGCAGTAGGCTTATTTATGAGCATTGTACTTGTAAAAATAAAACATAAAAACACTCACCCACTGTTGTGTGGATCGAAGTCTTACGAACATAATCTAAACTATTTAAGTTTATCTAACTGCTTGACAAATATAACCATAGATATAGAACGTCGGTGGTTCAATCCTGTGAAAAAACCCAGACGCATTTAAAAATTGGTTTGAAACTCGGATCAGCTGTCCTGGCCCTCCTAGAGTTTTTGATAAATGGTTAAGCTTAAGGAACAGCTGGTCTTGGTCAGTAACAAAGCTACACAAAGAACTCATCCCACACTCATATTTAATTCATATGGATTCGACCGGGCACAGAGACGTCCATTTAACTGGTGATTTAGTGAAACAAATGGTGTAGTCTAGCAGTGCAACTTTAGAGAGCTCATGGGGTGTAATCCATGAAAACAAGAAACTCATTTTCTTACAGCAATTACATACAGTAATATCTTATATCATTGATCATTCAAGTATATGAATGCAGGAGTTTCTGATTATATAGCTAAGTTATATCCAATTTCAATTCGTCAATGTTTACAAACTTTGAAAAATTTAGTACGTACTAACGTACTATTATTACTTGCACAATTTGGCTGGTCTATTCATTCTAACAACAGTAAGTATACTAAACCCAACTTGGCTGGCATCGTAACAATGCTATGAATAAAGTACCAGTGTTAAAAGTATCAAAATGGAAGTTTACGATTACAAAAATTATATCATTCACCCAGGCCTAAATTAGTGTATTGCAACCTAAAATGTAACGTGTTGCAAACATATTCTACCCACGGATATTAGAACAGAAACGGCATGGATCACAATCACAAACATAAAAAATGACGTCACTGGCCCCAATGCATAATGAACTGATAGCTACAATTTGGCAGTTTTTTGACAGCTCCATTTTAATTACAAACTTGTTACGTTAGGGCCAGTCAGCTAATTTGTTAAACGTTTATGATTCATACAGTTTCTGTTCTAACATTCGTGATGCTACCTCCGTCATTTTGAAATGTTTACAGTCTCTGATGGTAAACAACAGTCTTGCGGGAGCTAGTTAAAATTAAAAGCGAGCAAACAGACTCGTTATCGTGTTATTGAGCCGGTCACATGCTCTTCTAGTCGTGGGTAGAGTGTATTTTTGCCGCGTAGTTGGGGCTATTTTTGGCGGGGGCTCGTGCGACGCGGCCTCTCATTGGCTAGCTTGTATCGGCCTCCATGACGTCACAGTTGGCCCGTGGACGGTCAAGTATTTGGATCTTAAGTCTTTTCACACAACATTGTCACCGTTGACTTTGGATATAACTGATACAAGTATTCCTATCCATATGGACCTGGATGAGTTTATAGTTATTACTACAAGCTTTGACTATTAATAGTCAATGCTACAAGATTTCGAGATTTTTAACTTTTTACGAGAATAGAATGTCAATAGTTTCCACTATGATATTTGATGGGATTATTAAAGATGCTGCATGGATTAAAATAAGTTGTCGTCAGTTTATGGTAACATTAAGTTAATCCTAAAATGCTACGGGAAGGGAGGGTAACAGGTCCGCGACGTAGGAAGTGGTAAAGTAAGTAGTAAAGGCGAGCAGTCTGGAGCGTGGGAACTGTTTATGACGATAAGATTAAGGTATCCGCTATCCTCAAATGCTATGGGAAGGGAGGGTAACAGGTCCGCGACGTAGGAAGTGGTGAAGTAAGTAAGTAGTAAAGGCGAGCAGTCTGGGGTGTGGGAACTGTTTATGACGATAAGATTAAGGTATCTGCTATCCTACAATGCTACGGGAAGGGAGGGTAACAGGTCCGCGACGTAGGAAGTGGTAAAGTAAGTAGTAAAGGCGAGCAGTCTGGAGCGTGGGAACTGTTTATGACGATAAGATTAAGGTATCCGCTATCCTAAAATGCTATGGGAAGGGAGGAAAACAGGTCCGCGAGGTAGGAAGTAGTGAAGGAAATAGTCAAGGTGAGCAATCCGGAGTGAGGGAACTGTTAATGACGATTAGATTAAGGTGTTTGCAATCCTAAAATGTTATGGGAAGGGAGGAAAACAGGTCCGCGACGTAGGAAGTGGTGAAGGAAGTAGTCAAGGCGAGCTATCTGGAGTGTGGGAACTGTTAATAACGATTAGATTAAGGTATCTGCAATCCCAAGATGACGTGGGAAAGAAGGGAAACAGGTCCGCGTCGTAGGAAGTGGTGAAGGAGGAGGTAAAGGTGAGCAGTCCGGAGAGTGTGAACTGTTTATGATGATTAGATTAAGTTATCATGCAGCAATCCTAAAATGCTATGGGAAGGGAGGAAAATATGTCCGAAACGTAGGAAGTGGTGAAGGAAGTAGTCAAGGCGAGCTGTCCGGAGTGTGGGAACTGTTTATGACGATTAGATTAAGGTATCTGCAATCTTAAAATGCTATGGGAAGGGAGAGAAACAGGTCCGCGACGTAAGAAGAAGTAGTGATGGAAGTAGTAAAGGCGAGCAGTGTGGAGTGTGGGAACTGGAAACCGTTTGTAGCAGTTAGATTATTGTATCTGCAATCCTTAAATGCTATGGGAAGGGAGGGAAACAGGTCCACGACGTAGGGAGTGATGAAGGAAGTAATAAAGGCGAGCAGTGTGGAGTTTGGGAATGGATTAATGTTTCTGCAATGCTAAGGCTGCTTTCAGAGTAAACTAATGATTTTCCCCGAGCAAAGCTCGGTTTCCGGGTACTGAAAGGATAAAACGAGAAATTAAACGATTAGCTAATTAGCAGCCCTCCGAATTATAAATTCGGAATTCTATGACAAGGGAAATGGTCGCAAATAAGAGTTTTATTTTCATCAGTGTAAAGGAGTTGTTAGCATTGTCCAACAACTCTTTGAACTTTGAACTACTTTAGGTACTTCCTTTCCATGTCCGGAAATCAGACTTAGTTTTTCCAAAAATTAATTACCGATATGGCTTTGTCATTTGCTTGTAAAAGATCATCTAACGTGCAAGACTGGTCTGGCCTGGACAGATCAGCACCACACGCACAAGAGATGTTTTCTTGGTCTGGTAAGAGACCCAATTTCTGCATGTTTGTCTTGCATTTTGGTACCTCGACCCTGATTCGATTTAGGGTCTTCCACACCCTTCCTGGCTGGTATGGGAGGGTTGGTCA